CCACACACTTAGAAGCCCAGAGGCACAAAAGAAAGCAGCAGGGTGAGTTCCTCCAGGTTGGACCCTCTCAAGGCATCTCAGGAGTGTGCCAGCCCCTTCGTCTGTGACTGAGATCCATCAGTTGACAGGAGATGATCTCCAGGCCTCCTTACAGACTGACGGGTGGATACTGCCCACAGAAGTAGGGGATTCAGTGTGGGATGCAGAGGGGACCATTTGGATTGTACAAGACTATTACAGATATGAGGATATGACCTCAAAAGAGAGTTCACTATGAGGGCAAATCAAAGGAAAGGAAAGGGAGGGTTATGGGTAGCAAGAACAGGAAAACAGGGATAAAGAGATAAAAAGGGCCAGGTACCTCTCATCAGTCTGGTGGTCAATATGTTTCATTGACCATACACTATGTCTGATCACCTTGTCTGATCTGTCCAGTACTCACATTAAGTTCTATATTTTATTTTTTTTTCTGAGTAAGGCTCCTTATCTTCAACATGCATATGTACATGGAGACCTGAATGTCAGCAGACAGAACCAGGGAGTGCAGGTCAGAGGGACCATGCATCTCCTGCTCCAGCAACTCGAGAAGCTGCAGTGGGACCTGCTGGATTGTGTTTTCTAGCTAACATCCACTTGGACTGGCTGCTGAATACTACAGATTCTTGGGGCAGCTGTAGAGACCTGTGCGCTCTGAGAGGTTATAGGTGACTAGCCAGCAACTGGGGAGACTGCGACATGTAGGTGTCAGACTCACCAGCATCTTGTGTTTATGAGTATAAAGAAACTGGGAACCAGGGAATCCAGGGCCTGGGAAATGTGTAGACTGGTTATCTAAAGGAGGGATCTATGCTATGTGGATAAATTGCCCACTAACAGACCTTCATCCTGAGCTGTTGAAGGTGGAAACAGCAGTCTGTGCTACCTATAGTTGTGTGAGTGCTTCTGTGTTTGCTAATTTGTGTGGCCACCCATGTATGTACATACATATTGTGGAAGAGTACCCATGTGAGTGTATGCCTATCAAGGACACATACTTGGCTTGGTCTGGCTGCTGGCTGCGCCTGGGACCATGGCCCTGAGGCAGCCTCATCTCTGCCAGACTATGACGTTCAGCAATTTGCAGTGAATCTCATATGCATTTGGCTTTACGTGTTACTGAAATTGAATGTTATAAACAGTTATAAACTTACAGAGAAATGTGAGGGACGATTTCAATCCTTTGGCTCAGATGAGAATTTCTTTTATATGAGAGACAATTTCCTCAAGTATCAAAACTCAAGGCGTTCCTTCTGTGTTTTATAATACTTTTGTTCAAAAGCTGCAATCTCTGAAAGACCTAGTTGTGAAGTGTGGGAATGAATTTTGTACTCTATTTTCATTGAAATAGCTTTTGGTATTGAATAAAGCTTTGGACAGCCACTTCTTCAGTCTTTGCTATGCTGGTTGTAAGTGTGGAATATTTGTGTAAATATTAAGCAAGTCATAAAAGTTTGGGTTTTGAAATCAAAAGGGGAAAACTATCTTGAGAAAAGGAAAAATTGCACAGATAGATGATTTTTAGTATAACATTTAAAAAACCCTAAATCTATTTGCCATTTGAAATTGCAACAAGCTATATAACCAGGACTTTCTAAAATGGGAAATATATTTCTGTGTCTACTTATTGTAGGTTTTATACCACACCCATGATAATTACAATTTGGCAGAATATGTTACAGTTATTTCTACAAAGAGTAAGCAATCAGAACAATAATTTCCATATCTTCTTTCAGAATAATAAAGGAAGTATTCTATAATAGGTGCACTTCTTATGGGAGACTTCATCCATTTCTTGCATTATATGATGAGACTGATATGACCACTAGGTTATCACAGTTTCTTTGAAAGGTATACCAATAGGAAGCAGCAAGCCACAGCCTCCTGATTTATGTGAAAATAGAAACAAGTCTGAGAAAACCATTGGTTTAGTTGCTATATTCTTAATCTGATACTTTTCTCACTGCTATTGAAAAATATACATGATTATTTTGGCATGATGGGAAGTCATTCAGTTCTTAAAATCATCAAAATGGTCATATTAGACTGCATCCACATCCATCTACCTATTTCATAACAATGTTGAGTAGAGGAAGAATAAATTTATGTACTGATTCTTAGTAATGCAAGCCCAGACTGTAGCAGGGTGCAGGGAATTCTAAACGCAGGGTCTAATCTTTCTCCTTGATAGCTTTGTCTTCTGTGAATGTATTTCATTGCTCTCTGAACCCATGCAAATATTTGGCATCCACAAAATCTGTTATCAATTATTTCCATGGTTTCCATTTTATATCATGATTGGAGAGGCCATAGTTTATCTCACTAACTTTACTCTGGAGAATAGATCCGTACACAAAATTAAAGCAACACGAGAAATAAAAGGCAGGCATCAATGTAATTTAGAAGTAATCTAGTAAGCCTGGGCTTTCCATCTTCCTCTGTAACCACACTGGAGACTGCCTTTGAAGACGTTTGGTTGTTTAAGTTTGACTGCCCTGAGCTACACAATGCCACATCATCTTTAGATAAGAGTCACAGAGACAGCTAAATAAGTGCACATCTTCGCTTAGAAATGCTTCCTTATGGTATGACTAGAATACACACAGCCTCTGCAGACACCTCAGGAACAGAACTCAGCCTTCCTTGAGCTCCATCTTTGTTTTTTGTGCTAAAACCCCCAATCCCTTTATTCAGTGTCTATCCTAGTTAATTTACTTCTACATCTTAGTATCTTGTGTTTGTTTGTATCAGATTTAGTTGCAAGCAAGCAGAGCATTTATTACTCCAATTACTTAATGAGGTATTGCTAGACAGAGAACTCCTTGAATGCAAGGACCTACCATAAAGTTCATGTAACCTTGTATTCATTTTCTAAAGTGGAAAATGGCTTTCATTTCTGGTTGATAGAATTTATCTCTGAGATGTGAAAATCACATATTCATCACAATCGTTCCTTTTCTGATCCTGTTAATGGATGTGCATTCTCATGGTGATTGAATCCCTCTTCTAGAAATTTATAAAGAGAAATTATATGTTTTTTTCTATTAAATATTCTGAAAAAAACCCATATTTTCAAACTCAAAATCCTTCTCATACTATAATGAATCTATTTTATTACAGTTGAAAGCATGCAACAATATGTCCATTTCTATTATATTAAAATTCAGTGCAAAATAGCTATAGCTTTCTACTAAAATATAGCATCTGCTTGTAAAGCAGTATTCACTCTTACAGGGAAAACAAAGAACCATGCACCTGTGACATTGATTTAACATTTGGAGTGACAAAGAATTTCTCCAAAAGGAGAAAATAAATCGTTAATGACTAAAAAGAAATAAGGGGAATAAACCACCACTCTGTCCACTTTTCCTTTCACAACAATAATTAGTAACTTTTGGTTACTAATTAAAATGGTACTTAAGTAATGGTACTTAAATAATTGGTACTTAAATAGTGGTACTTTAACTGCATTTCAATATACATTTAACTACGCTATTTTCCTCTGCATCAAAAGTATTTCTGTTTTCTGCTCAGAACCATATCCACATATGCCATAGAAATCTGCCAGTTTGGAGTGGGATTAAGCTGTATGTAATGATCTCTCTCATTTCCACCTCTTTGGACCCACCCATGACCATCCATTGCCAAGTCTAGTCTTCAAAATCAGGTGAAAAGCTGCAGTGAAAGCTGTTTGTTTTCTGATTCAGTTCTGTGCCATTAGACTGCTGCCAGTCAGTAGCTCCAGCAATGTACAGTAAAACCTAAGTTTAAAATTCTGTGATAGTTATGTGATTTTTTTTTTTTGTGGGATTATATTGTTTTCCAGATAGAGGAAAGGAATTGCTGTGGAAACAGTTTATTGGAGGTTAACACATTTAAAAAAAAAAAAAAAAAAAGGAAAGCTCAATCTTGCTCTCTCTGATGGATGTCACAGGGCTGAAGCAGTTTCCAGCTGTGCTAGTGTGATGCAGCATCACATTTCCTTGAAGCTAAACCAACAGTGTGATGGTGCTGTGGGGACTACCATCTCTGAGCCATATTCTATTAGTATAAGTAACAGGAAGATCAGATAGCTGAGGACTGATAAATATTAGTAATGGATTCATCCTCTGGAATCTAAGAAGGGCTGCAGCTGCCTGGAAAGCAAGGGGAGTGAGGCTGCAGTATTTGCTTCCACAGCACCAGCTGGAAGGACTAAAAGGAAAACTTGACAGCGTAAACTGACAGCTGCTGACTCCAGGCTTTTAGTAGCCTAGCAGGTGTTGTGCTGAGCAGCACTCAGTGATGGTGGAGGAGTACAAACAAGTGGAATGAACCAGAGAGTAAAAATCGCATGCAGCGTCTGAGAAAGGACACTGATCCAAATTATTTCATTGAAATGGATGTTAAGTGCTGCAGTAGTGTAAAGCAGTCCTCTTTTGCCTTACCACCAGATATCACATGAGACTACAGATCCCCCACTGACCTTCAGTGCCCAGAAGTGGTACTCCCAGTCAGTGTGTAAGGACATATAAACAACAAGATGGAGAAAATCCAAATAGACGTTTATCTGAGAAAATATTCTTGAGACTATGCCACATTCTCCCAGTGATCCTGGAGGATTAATTTTTCTTTCTCTTTTCCCATCTCTGAGTCAGAGCTTTGACATGCCATACAAGACTGAAGGTATAGCACAGTGCAAGCAGAAAAAAACTATGACACACCAGGCCAGAAAAACTGTAACTGTAACCAAATATCATGGGACTTGTGGTTGTTTGATCCTGGCCAGTTTCTAAGCACCAACACAGCCACTTGCTCAATCCGTCTCCCTGTCACCAGGGAGAAAATAAGAGCAAAGGAAAGAAAACTTGTGGGGTTATGGGAAATTTTAATAAATTAAGGAAAGAGGGGAAAAAAAACCCATACAAGAGCTGGAGAGGCAATCACTCACCACTCCCATAAGCAGACCAATGTTCAGACAGGTCTACAAGCACTGTTTTATTGATAAGCATGACACTACATGGAATAAATTACTACTTTGTCCAGTTAAGGTCAGCTCTAGTGGCTGTGCTTCCTCCCAGATTCTTGCCCGGATCCAGCCTACCCTCTGCAGAGGGCAGAATGAGTTAAAGAGAAGGCCTTGATGCTGTGCATACATTGCTCAGCAGCAGCCAAAACACTGATGTATTATCACCACTGTGCTAGTTACAAACCTAAAACACAGCACCATACAGGCTGCTATGATAAAAGTTAGCTCCATCCAAACCAGACCCAGTGCAGAATCATGCAGCTTGTTGCAGGATGCTGATGCTGCTCTTCAGACTCCAGCTAGCCCTGCCCACACCACACTTGGTGTTCAAGTCTGTTTCCAATTTAAGCAAGATGGAAATTTAAATATCAGGAAAAATGGGTGAGATTGTCAGCCCTTTTTGGGGAGAGGAGGCTTCTTTTGAGCCACATGTGGCCTCTGGATGTCTTTGAAGAAGCCGACTGAAGATGGAAGTGTCAGAAATAACCTGGCAGTGTCTGAATTTGAAAATATGACTTTTCACTCTGAATTCTTGTTTCCTGGCACAGTTCAAGGCAACTTAACTTTTGGTACTGTATTTCTCACAGACATGCTGGCCAGAACCATGCTATTAACATGGCCATTTGTTATTAGTCATATGTTTACTTCCTTCTGTGGGAATATCTGAATAAGTTCCCACGACCCAAGCTCCTCAGAGTATCCTTGGCTTTCTGAGGGAGGGTAACTCTGCAGGCATCCTTGAATGTGCACACACTGGGCTTCATCCATCAGAGAGAACTGATCCAGTTTGGGGGGCAAGGTGAGAGAATCATCTCATGCATTAAGTTTGCAGTGCAGATATCTGCTACCAGCTGCTTGCATGGGAAGAAAGGTCCAGAGATATTCAAGATTAGCACATCACCACATGCATCTTGTACCTAGGAAATTAAAAGACAAACAAAAGGCTCAATGGGCATCTATCATCCTTTCAGGCAGGCAATTCGTTACCGCTTTCTCCCTTCTCCCACACTGCACTCCATGGTCTTCCCTCTGCCCTTCTGCCCTTCCTAAAGAAGTAGACAAGGTATCTCACAGAGCTGCTCTTAGGGATATCACCCCCAGTGTGCCCTATCTCAGGGCTATTGCTTTTCCCCTGTCTTCTGCAGACTAGGGAGCCAGGAAAAGAAAAGTGCAGGGAGCTGTTGACTTAAGTGAAAGTCTACTGCGGCTGTCAATGACTTTACTCTTCTACCACATACATCTCAGATCAAGACTCTCTAAGATGTCTGTTTTCATAGTATTTCTAGAAGATTAGGGAACCAAAATCTTTATCTTTAATACTTTATAAAATTTATTTCCATGGAATTTTGTTCCTTGGTACCTACCCATTTAGTCCTGTTCTTCGTAGATATCAAAGGGAAAGCTGTTTTACCAAAGACTTTTACCTGCCTTCTCTACTAATAAAGGTAGAAAATGTCCTTGACATGTCAGATCTCTTGTCTTTTCTAAGGTCTAAACTTTCACTTTCTATCTACCAACACTGAAGACATGCTCTAGCTTGAAAATGGTTTCTCAAGAACTAAGAAATCTGAAGCAACAAAGGCAAGTCCTGTATCAGGAAGGAGCACAAGCAGTGAGCACCAACTGGATTTAAGCCTTATTCCTATAAATACTTCTGCAAACATTTTAATTCTGCTCATCTGCTTAAAATTATTCACACATGTAAGATCAGGACCTTACCCTATAAACACTCAGAGAAAATAAACAGACACTGGGATTTTTTGTTTGGTTTGTTTTATAATTACAGGCAAAGATTCTGGGTGAAAGGAATGATAGAAATAATTTTTTTAAAAGTTATACTTTTTTTGTTAAAGTAAATTATTTGAACATCAGGAAATTACCAGCGAATCAAAGCAATTCTCAGCTTCCACATAATATCATATTATTCGCTCAAGCCAAGGCACCCATTACTTCTCAACTTTGACTCCTAAAATTTATGAAAAATACCTCAGACATTATTTTGCATAACAAAATTTTCCATTTCTCTAAGAAAAAACTGTTTTCTAGTTCACTAGAACACAAATATGCACTGAAATACCACTTCTTAGAAGGCAAGCCAAACAAGACACAGTGCTAGTAGCTGTCTTTTATAGACAGTAGAGATTGCACATTGAAGCTTTAAACAAAATATATAGGCCTGCATCACCATGACACTGATTGCTAAATGATTGCCTTCTATAATTCCTGTTAAGCTTTCTTAACTTAAACAGGTCACCTTACAAGCCAGTGGTGAGAAAATATTGCTAAATTGAAGCTTCTATATTCAATATATTAGGTAACTTCAATTTTAATAATAAAAATAATATTTAAAACTATGAGAAAACTTCCAGCACTCTGACCTTATATTTCTTCGGATTTTATCTCTGAAAAAATCTTTAGTACACATTTAAAAGACATTATAGAAAGTCAATGCTACAGTTCCCTCAGCATATTTGCATTTTAGAGTAAGTAATGACACAAAGGGGTTTCTGTGGATGTCAGATTGGGAGATTTACAGTGATTACAAGTGGAGAAGTCTGTACTGCATCTTCTAACAGTTCATTTTCTTTATTAAGGGACATAGCTAATGCTTTCCTTTAGAGATTTCAAAGTGTGGGTTAGGAGAAGCAGGCATCATGTTCCTCTCCTTGCAGATGGGGAAACTGTAGAAGAAAGAGGTAAAAGCTACATCTAAACAGATAAACTAAATGGGGCTCCAACATAATAGCAAAACTCAATCTTCTATAACAAAGGACAGACTGATTTCAAACCTATCTCACTCACAGTTCAGGAGACAGCACAGGCTTTGATCCATTAGCAAGAGGTCTTGCATTTTTTGGCAGTTAAAATAATTAAATAGTAAGATATGTTTTATTCTAGTTGGCTTCCTTGGCAGAAAACTATCCTGGGCAGGTTTAATTTACTACTGAGCAGATAGCCCAATGTAACATTTCCAAAATCATCACTAGACAGCCAGTACCAAGGCAAGATAAGACAGCAAAACAAAGGTCTTCTGAATAACAGATATTAGGTGAAGAACACTACCACAGATTTAAAATGATTTTTTAATCTAAAAATTTAAATTTTTGTCTTTGTGGTATTTAAAAGAGACTGTCTTCATCTGTGGAAAAAGACTTTTTGATTTTACTGAAAGCTTCACCTTACTCAGAAGAAGCAAAGAAAATGAACCAAGTCCAAAATCTTCAAAACAGAATGTTTATGAGAACGATTTGTCAAATTTATCAAAGGGATTTGGATCAGGTAGATTCAATCACAGTTAAGCACTGGAAGAATTTTGTCCAATTTTTATATTTATCACATAAATGGGCTTTAAGATCTATATTTGTGTCTAGAAATGGACAGGTTTAAGTATGAAGTGAGAACAGAATACAGAAATAGGACTGTGTCTTTCTTTTTTTATTTTAAAATATGTATAGAGATATTCAAGTACACCCAGGCAATTACAGCAGCTAAAGACTTACTGCTTTTTGTAGAATAACAAATTGTAATGTAGAAATTTTTGCTGTGTTAAAATATTTCAGTCATTTTCCTGATAATTAAATATTTCCAGTATCATTTGGACTGAGGCATGCCTGTACATTTTGTTATTCATAAATACAAAGTCTATTAAAAAAAGATACTTGGGGCATTTTCTTTTCTCCCTTGATTCATAAATGCAAGTGCTTATGAAGTAAAATATTCCTATGGTGCTGTTGTTACTCTTTCAGAGATCAAGATACTATAATTTTCTTTAGTAGTGAAGGATAGAATATTTATTGTTTGTATCCATAGAGTTAACAGCATCTGACTCTGTCATATATATTTTTCTAAACTTCTCAGGTCTTGAGTCATCAAAATCACCCAGGGAGAGATTTAGAGTAAATCAGAGCAGACACTTTCTGTTCTTGCTCTTCCCCTCTGTCTTCTGTAAGTCTTATTTAAATGTGCTTCTGGAGGTAATTTTTGTGTGGGTATACTTAGTTCCCTTTATACTTTCAGCAATCTTGATAAAACAAAAGATCCCTCATGCACAATAAACTTGCATTTTCTGTACTCAGAAGTGAAGTGTAGCACTTAGACCTTCCCCAATTGCATTGGTTTGGAGGATATTATATGTTACTTATCTATTTAAGCTAAAAGAGAACCTGAGCAAATCTATAAGGTCATAAATTAGAAATGCTCTTGGACAAATAAATCAGAACCTACACCTTTATCTTCAGTGAAATGATGCCAGTTTCACAATAAAGAGAAAATGTCCAGATTTTGGCTGCTTAACTCAATGTTGTTTCTTACCTGAGTGTATCACTGCTCTAGTTACAGCTTTAAGGATTTTTTGGAAGACATAAATGTGAAGCAGGAAAGTTCAAGATCAATTTACAGCGGTGACATGTTTTCTTAGCCTATGTTTCACTGAGCAGATGGGAAGAGCTTGGGGAGGGCATGAAGTTCAGTCATGTCTGGATAAAAGCATTAACTGCAAAACTGTTACAGACTCTCAGCGTCTTCTGCAGGTGGCCTTTTTTTTCCACACATGATTTTTAAATGAAAGAATATAATCCTGAGAAATGTGGGTATAATTTTTATTTAAAATTAAATAAAATAAGGTGATAATGCACCTTTGGGAAAAACAATAATATTGGTTTATTTTCTTCTTGCATTTGTGAATTGATGAATAATTTCAGAAGTGGCTGTATCTCCCAGTGTCCTGGGTCTGGCCAGGACAAGGTTAATTTTATGCAGTAGGTGGGATGGGGCATCCCTAGGACAGAGAGATTATTCTCTATCTCTTCACATCTTTTCCAGGGGTGGGTAAAAGGACCTCTCTTCCAGTTGAGTAAACATGGTGGAGGAAACTGTCTGGTACTGTCTGTTATTTGGATTTTTTTGTCATGAATTTATTTTCTTGTACCCTCTGTCATTTGTATTGTTACTGTTTGTTTTCTTATTCTTTGCTGTTTCCAATAAATTGTTTTTATCTTGCCCCTTGATCTTTGCCCTTTCTGCCTCCCTGTCCATCACACCACAGCAGCAAAGGGGAAAGTGGGGAAGCAAAAGAGAGTGCTGTGTGGTTTGGAGAGTCTTAGTGGGGGCACTGAACTGGGGAATACAATTCCTAAACCACATTATTCAGCTGAGGGTTGGGTGGAGTTTGAGTACTGTAAGTCAGCTGTACCATCCTTGAAATCTCAATTCAGATGAGACCAGGGGTTGTTCTCAAGTCTCCCCATGAACTTTTTGCCAGAGACTCCAGGAAGGATCATTATCCACTGGATGTAGTGTAGAATATATTTTTCATGTCTTATCCTTGCTTTACTAGCCCAAGGGCTATTGAATGAGCAATCTCTTGTTTAATTTTTTCAAAAACTTATTGTCCAGGATCCCACTTGAAATCATTCTTCTTCCATGTCATTTGATAGAGACAGTTTACAGTTTGACTGTAATCTAGAATATGCATCCCTGTGCAAACCCACTGTACCTTAAAAAACCCTGTGTTTTCTTCTTGCTAATTGGTGGGGACATAGCTGCTATTTTTTGACCACATCCATTGGAATCTGATGATGTCCGTCTTGCCATTTTGCTCCTAAAAATTAAATTTCCCTTGACCTTACTTTTCTGTATGGCAAAACTGGCCAAACAGGAGGATTTGGAATATCTTTTCCCCTTTCTAAAAAATTTCCTCTGCTCTGTTGCCCCACATGATGACGTGTTATGGAGCCTCTCCATATCCCAGTGCAGTCCAGATCCTTGTCTGGCAAATACTGGCGCTCTAATTCCAGCTCTGGGGCAGTTGGTTCCAGGTGTACTTGATGCCCCTCTAGATGAACATGAACTGTGGCCTGCATTCTGCTGCTAAAGGAATGGAGAAAAACGCATTAACATTGACACTTTGCTGCCTTGGACTCCAGTTCATACTGAAGTTCCCGCATGTCTGGCACAGCAGCACTCAGTGATGGTATGACTTCCTTCAGGCCATGGTAGTCCACTGTCAGTCTCCATTCCCCACTGGACTTGTAGGACTATTAAAAGGTACCAGGTACCTTCCCTTGGAATAAGCATAGCAGAAGGAGCAGTGGGGTGGTTCCAGTTCTGAGCCAGAGGGAGGGCTTGGCTAATGCCAGTTTCAGAGGGAGTGGTCGGGTGTCGCAGCTGTGATCAGGCCGGGCTCTGTGGTGAACCGCTCTCTCTTTTGTAAGCTATTGATATTGCAGCTGTTACTACTGGTCATTTGCTTATGCAGCAGCGATAGCAGGCAAAAGACCTTAAATTTTTTTAAGATAAGTTCACAGAGAACATCTGCCAAGTAGCAGTGTTCAAGTATGACTGCTGAGTTTCTTGCATTCCATTCTGTTGGGCTGAAACACCACCTTTCACCCCGGCCTTAAAACCACTTTGCAAATGCCACTGTGTTCATTTAGTTAAGGTTCACAATATGCACTGCATGTTCTTTTGAGGGAAAAGAACAAAGGAATCTGCTGGGTGGAGGCTAAAGGAGTAATGAAGGCAGAGTTGTGTGCAGAATAAGAGGGATTGATAGATATGGAGCTGTTTGAATATCTAGTCAAAGAGAAATATTCATTTTCTGAACTCTTTTGCTTCTTCAGTACCACTTCACCTTTGGGATGAAGAAGAAAGATGAGATAGAGAAAAAAAAATACTGTTAATAATATACACATCAGATAATGGTTTAAAGAGAGTATCCTGTCAAATTTACTGGGTGAGTAAGATTATTAAATTATTAGGACTCAAAATATAACCTTTCTATTCCACCATTATATGCTTGGAAGCAAAAACATCAGGCCAAAAACTGGTGACTGTTCAATATAAAGAAAATTATAGAAGAGAGGGAAGAGACGAACGAGGCACAGATGGGGAAGGGGCATGCAGCTGCCTGGCCCAGCAGTAGGGGAAAGCAGAAGATAACACTTTGCAAAAAGCCTGACACAAATTTGTTTTGTCAGATGTGCCTCTGTAGCAGGAATCAAAGGAATTCAAGTGCTTCATCTTTCTTTTTCTTGATGTACTACGCCTCTCTCCCTTTTTGCACACCATTTTCTAGGGGTACCCCAAAGGTGAGCCATTTGTTTCAGTAGAGCTCCACAGACCCCAGGATCCTACTGTTCATAAACTATTTTATTAATTCAAATTACTCTCATACTGCTGGCTTGAGTGCATATACATTAGTCTTGCTAAGAACCTTTATTTTAAAGTAAGAAAAAGGATAAAGAACAACAAATTAATCAAACCTCAGTGATTATATACCAGCTGCTGAGCTCCTAGTAAAACCTCCAGCACATGTGCTCACATTTTCCCATTTGTTTCAGGATTTACAGTGAAGAGAGGACATAACCTGAGTGAATGTGGATGAAACTCCATTTTTTCTAATGAGTTACATATGTTTTACATGAATGCTTGAACTGCATGAAATGCATTATGTGATTAGGTTGATGGGAAGTATATAGGTATATAGATATATCTCTTGCTAGTAGCCAGATATTTATCTTCACAGTACTGTTTAATACTGTGAAATATTAAAAGGAAGGGAAATACAAAGCACACGTCTGACCTATACCCAGTGCTGCTCTTTATTAGTAATCAGATCATTGACTTAGATTACTTTGAGGCTCTTCATGCTAATGACAGAAGCAATACAGACACACACACTGACATGAATTGTTCCCAAGGTGTTTCCTGAACTTAGTGAACTTGTCCAAAGGAAGAACTGCAGAGAGTATTCAACCTGTATTCCCAGCTCATCTGTTTTCAGCTGATGTCTGAGAGACTTGGGAAGATTTTCCTCGGTTCTATCTCTAAAGACAAGGAATAAAGAGAATAGAAAAAGAATCTTTTACTCAGCATTTAGCAGCAGTTCCTAGAGTAGCAAGCAGTAAGATATATTCTCCTTTGAACAGATTTCCAATAAATCTGGAAAGGCACAGGGGGTAGAATAGATCAATGAACCATGCTGAGTTACAGAATGACCTTACAGCCCACAGGAAGAAGATCTCATTGGTGTTTATTTTTAGATGACAACTGTGTTGGACTGACTTTTCTTTCTTGGCAAATGCACTAAGAACAGAAGTGGTATAAATAACACCTATGGTGATTTTGAATATAGCAGAAAGGAATCCAATGAGGCCTCCAGCCTCCTGTTAATATATACATCAAACTCCAGTTAACATCATCACAAATTTTAACCATGTGCAGTGGTTAAAGAAGCAATCTTATGCCGACTAAAGAGCACCACTGGCTATTTTGCATTATGTTAGTAGCAAAAGCTTGCCTCATGAACAAGCTCATGTCTCAAGGATTTTGGAGAGAGCTAAAAAAATAAAACATCAGGTGCAGGAGAAGTTGGCAGTGACACAGGTTTTCACTGAGCTTTAGAAAGACAATTGAAAGCAGGGCTAATTTCAGAATAAATTGTTAAATAAAAAGAAAGGGATAAAAGAACAGATATAGAATAAATTCTGCAACCACGTTTTAACAGTATTTGTTTCCCTATTTATTTGGGCAATTCATTTTTGGTGAAAAATTAAGAATGACATTATTTACTCTCCTGGAGCACAGGGTTTAGTTTGTGTGAGTACTGTAGAAAGTCCACCTTAATTTTGACAAAACAAACAGCAACATCTTGACAGTATTCTTTCCATGATGTCTGTTTTTATTAATTGCTTTATTTTGAACCCTCAACTTGAGGAGTCTCTTTTTTGTTATTATTACTTGGAATCTTACTTTTCTTTAAGTAGCAATGAAGTACCAAGTGCTTATGCTTGCAGATACATTTGAAAATGTATCTTGATCCTCATTTCAGAGGAAAAAAAAAAGGTGACAAAAAAAAAGATATCTTACACTCTCTTACACTCTATTTTTTTCTTTATTATTATTGTTTATAATTTAGGTACAGCTAAAATGTTTTTTTACTGTTATTTAGATAGATCGTGATGTATGGCTATTTCTCTGGTAGGAATTATTAATGTTTTCAGTAGCAGTACTGTATTTTCCCCTGTTTAGCATATTCTGCCATAACAGGCACCATAAAATCAGAGTGTCTTGGCTGTATGTTGAGTGTTGTTGTGACGGGGATGAGGAACAGAGGAATAGCTGCCTGGCTGAATACAGATATCTGAGCACTGACTAAGCACAGACAGGAACCCTGCCCTCCTTAAGGAGAGCGAGGAGGGCTCAGGCACGGCAGGAACAGCTGCTGTCAGTGTGGCTGCTGACCTGGAACACTGCTGCTTGAGAGGGGGAATGCTGCAGCTCTCTGCATTTTCACTATGGTCTATTTGAATGTAGGCACAGATTTTAAAAGACTAACATATTTGACCTCACAATATGTGTCCAAGCCTTTGTTGGTTGAAGTGAGCATCCACAGAAGCTCTGGAGGCATTACCTTGCTGAATATTTTTTCATGTTTCCCATTTTAGTGACTTATCCCACAAGGCAACAATTAAGTTTGAAAAGAGATAAGGGGAACTTCCTCCCCTCATTTTGGAAATTAGTCTGGGAAACAGAAGAGGAAAGGAATAGTCCTTAATGTGTTAAACATTTATTTAAGCCTTTGAGAAAAGGATATAAGAAGTGAAAGAAGAAAATAATGTATTTTTTTCTCTACATATATTGTTTTGCTTAAATACTAGTAAAATATCAGAGTCATTCTGTGAAGACATAAATTTATGGTCCAATTAAAACCAGATGACAGGAAAAAAGAGTCATTTTGAGTCTAGACTTCAGCTTAATGACTCAAATTCATATAAACTCGAAATCAAATATGCTGACATAGGGCATTTTTCCACTAATTCAAGAGTAAACGATCTGTTTGTGCTTGAAAGAAGAGCTCAATGTGCTATATTTTACATACTTTTTTCTGTTTTTTATTAAAATGAAGAATGAGAAATAACTTAAAAAATGTTCTAAAGAGTGTGAAAAAACTGAAGATGTGTTCTCTGTAAAGGACAATATAAAATCTCATATTAAATTGTTGTATAAGTTAATTATAAAACAAAAAAGACAAAATATTGTGTTTATGGCTCTTGGTACATTCTGAATGGGATTTAAAGTTCATTTATTTTATAAGATCATCCACAACCTTGTAAAAAGCTATAATGCTCTGCTAAGTTTTGTAGGATTTTAACAAACATTTATGCATAAATTCAAATGCTGTAAGAACTGCTTTATTCATTTGAACTTTTCAGAAAGTTTCATTTTGCAAAACTTTTCAGATAAAAAAGAGGAAGGCCCATTAGAAGCTGTAGAACTCTATTCAAAATTTTATGGACAAGAGTAGGAAAGACATATCAGGCTGTGGGTAAGTGTTATATGAGATTAAATGGCTTCTGTGCTTCATTCCCAAAGCCAGCAGACATAGTGCAGTGTGTGTCTTTACAAACAAACTCTCCTCTCTCCAAAACATATTGGTGACATCCAACCAGCCATCTTAGAACAGCTTCCAACAGGTTACCCTTTAAAGCATTCCCAGACATGCTAGCTATTATGGTAATTTAGTAGTTTTGCCAGTTCTCCTGGATTAAATCTGTAAGAAACCAGGCTAACAGATTAGCAATATTAATGATTACCTATCAGTATCCAGCTCTTTTTTCAATTTTATGAAGATATAAATGTAAATATTTGAAAACTAATACAAATTATTTAGTAGGTAGAAGTACAACCACAGGGATCAACAACATTCAAAAGGTGAGGATTTTAACACCTTACACGGACTGGTAGCATATAAAAGTTCCACTAAATTAAAGCACAGCAAATATACCTACAAGTCAGCAATACAGCAACCAAACCCAGACAATGATTACAGGCAAGTACAGCAACAGAATGATGAGTGATAATAATACATTTTATGGCAATGGATGGATGGATGGATGGATGGATGGATGAATGGATGAATGGATGGATGTGTCTATCATCTATCTATCTATCTATCTATCTATCTATCTATCTATCTATCTATCATCTATCTATCTATCTATCTATCTATCTATCTATCTATCTATCTATATCTATCTATCATCTATCTAATTTTGCATCTATCCCAAAAGATAACAAATAAAATTATATAAAAAGCAGTGGATGTTTATGATAACCTCCCTAGCAAAGTCTTTAGCAGCATAACATTCTGGTTATGAGGCACAGTTCTGCCCAGATTTCTAAGTTCTCATATCTTACAAAGGTCTGCAAGATGCCTGATGCTGCCACTTGGGAGTCCCAAGCATATCCTGGCCAGAATTTCAAGTTAATTTAAAGAAAATGCTCACCTTTCTCAGTCCATGGCATCTGCAATGCTGATTCTCTTCTGATGAACTCACATTGATGAATTTCTGAATCTCTTTTATCTCCTAATAATACTGTGACCCACAGGCCACACACATTCTCAGCTGTCCAGACTATCCTTCTGCTGTTTTGCTGAATCCATTTTAGTCCAAATAGAAGAGACTGGGGAGACAGTTCTTTGAAATGAGCTGATAGACAGCTTCTCTTTTCTTTCGTTTACAGCTGTCTTAACCACAAAGCTATTGCATTATTTTTGCTATGTTCTATTCATTATGCTGGCTCAGCAGCTTGTTAGTTCAGCAATTCTGTTATAGTCTACAGATATTTTAAGGCCCACCAGTTATGCTTACTCAGCAACTGAGTTAGCCTCTGTCCTATCTCAAGGAATGTCAGATGCAGTTTTG